TGGGGGGGAAGGGGCAAGTACTCTAAATGCTCTGATAAGAAACATGGGCATTAGAAAGTGGAAGAAGACCCTGCAGTGATTGGAGGACCTGCCCCATTAATGAAGTTACTGTCCTGAGTGAGACTGGATGGGGGTCATGCTGAGGTGTACTATCCAAGGTAAAGAACACCTTACTGAAGCTTGCATCTTCTAGTACGAAAGGCACAATGAGTGGTAGCCATCTTCAGATTTTGGAGACCGTGTACACATTTGGGAATCCAACCCATTGCTCAGGTGACTCCAAATGCTGCGAGTAAGAGTCAGAGAGGGGTCTGCGGCAGACGCAGTCTGTGCTACCAGCACAACCCTGGCGTGTAGGTTACAATCCAGCAAATACTGTGTGCTGGACGCGTCTGTGGTAGACGAGGATGCTTTGCAGTCTCTCACAAGTCTCAAATAGGAGAGCTGGACTGCAGACCTCCAGTGTTCTGGAACAACAGCAGAAAATTCGACATCATTTGAAAAGCAGCTTCTGACTTGCTGTTGGGCCTTTGTAGAGACTGAGCACCTGACCAGGGGACAGGAAGGGACTATGTGGCCAGAGCTATTCAGCAAGAGTTGCATTCAGTAATAAGTAAGTTGGGGCAGGGGAGACAGAAAGGATTGCACAGATCCAGAGGGCAGAGAGAAATAACACAAACATGTTTGTGTTTGTGTTGCCTGCCTCTGTTGCACCAACACCTCTCCCTCAGCTCACATCTGTGGCCTAGTAGATGTTTCCTACAATTAGCTGACAGGAAGAAAAAACTGAGGCCTGGTTCATAGGTAAGATGGTCGAGTATGTTGGTGCAAGCCAAAAATCCACCTGGAAATAATTTTTTAGAATCATTTTATCATAAAAGTGAAGATATAAAAATCATATAAAACAAATGTATAACCCCAGAAATTATCATAAGGCAAACATCACCCTGGTCAAGAAGTGGATTGTTGCTAGCAGCTCCAGAAGCTGCTTCCAGGTGTTCCATCCTAGTCACAACCCTTCTGCTCACATGAATAACCACCATCTGGCTTTTATGACAATTGCTTACTTGCTTTGTAAAAATAGTTTTGTCACCCAAACATGGATCCCATCACACTATCAGTTAGTCTTGCCTGGTTTAAAAAAAATTTATACATCTTCTTAAGTATCTCCTCCACTATAAGTTCTTCTATCCCTTTATTTCCTTTCAGTTTTTCAGTTGAGGAACCTGGGCCATTTGCCCTGTAGAGTTTCCCACAGACTGGATTTTCCTGATTGCATATTCTTAATACAACCCAAGATTTTCTTCCGTCCTCTTGAATTTTCTGCAAATTGTGAGCTGGATCCAGAGACTGTATCAGACGCAAGTACAGAACTTATAAGAGGCGTGTAATTCTGATTATCTCTTTATTTTGTGAACTTAGCAGCCATTGATGTTTTGTGCTTATAGCCATTCATTAGAAATTGCCAAATGGTGATATGCAAATTCTGTCATTTTATTTGTTGGATTACCTTTATAGTAACACACATACCCCCATCTACTCTTTTATCACCAATCCTATATGCAATTCATATAGGAAAGGCAGGATAGATGTTGGGATTCCTTTCCTTTATCCATCAGTTTTCAAGATAATAAATGGTTTCTTTATCATTTCCAAAAGTTACACACACACACAATCATTATGAACTTTGCAATTTAAATATTTTGATGGGCTTCAGTCTGTTGTAATAACTGTTACCATTGAGCTCCAGTTGTCCCATGTTTGACTACTAGGAGCCCTTTAAAGCTGGCCCCTGAATCATGGACATGACTCTAGTAGGATTTAATAGTTTTCTTTCTATCTGGTAATATAGGATATTCTCGGCTTGTTTTGTTCATTTCTTGCCCAACTCCTAGATTTGACCATTTCTCTAAGAAGCTCTGGTTTCTTTTAATGAAAATAGTAATAAGAATTGTACATTGTACCACAATCTGGGCACAAAGGATGCTTATTGTTACTGGGTTGATCACTATTTTTAGGCCTATTTGGCAGACAGAACTAAGAAATCTATGTAAAATATCTGTTGCATCCAGAATGAGAGTTCCAGTTCCAACTCAATCTTTTATGTAACCTCTTTTCTATTATCATTGTATCTCCTTTTTTCCATATTAGAAATCTGATTCTCAAGAATGTAGAGGATGATAAAATTAATATATCCCATAATTACTTATTTTATCTCATACTACACACACAGCAGTCTCAGAATAATAATACTAATATGACCACCAATATGGTTCCTGAAAACATTTTAAGAATTCACACACTCTTCTATTCTTAAGATAGTTATACTCCATTTACTTTGTCAGACCATTACATACTACACTTTCTCCCTCCTATCCAGTGGTGTGCTGGACCAGCTCATACCAGCTCAGGACAGCCAATTGTTAAATATTCAGGAACTTTGCAAGCTGGTTTTTAAACACCTATATTATCAAAATTAAATTATATAAACTTAACCACTGCATATATTAAAAGTAAAGATAGAAAATACTCAAAACTCATCAGTTCCTAATTATTTTGCTACATGTTATAACTAGCTATGCTTTTCATGTTATTTACATCTGTTACATCTACATGGTGGAAACACTATATTACTATGTAATGGTGAGCACCGCACAAGGTTTCTCAACTCTGCATTCAGTGACATCACATTGGTAGCATGAAATCAACCATAGTAGGAATATTCACACCACAGAAATGGGTAAATGATACAAATTAGGACTTGATTTGTTGTTTTTTATGATTGGACTTTAAAAAGATGCAGAAAATGTTAATAATGCAAATTAAACTTAGAAGGGTATTGTGCCTGTAGCCATTTTGAATAGGACCCCAAAACTGAGGAAATATTTGAAAACTATTACCTAGTTCATCAAAGAGGTCACTTGCATCAATGACAAATGAGTGAACTTCTCTTACGTGTCTTCATTATTTCACATTTGTCTTACTCATTAACAGAAACAAAAATAGCAACCAACATTCATGTTAAAAGGAATCTCATTCAGGGTGCCTGGGTGGCTCAGTGGGTGGAGTGTCCAGCTCTTGATTTCATGATCAAGACTTGATTTCATGATTTTAGGTCATGATCTCAGGGTTGTGGGATTGGCCTGCATTGGCGTCCCCACTCTGTGGGGAGTCTGCTTGAGATTCTCTCTGTCCCTCTACCTCTTCCCCCACTCATGTGCACTCTCTAAATAAATAAATAAAATTTAAAAAAAAAGAATCTAGGGGTGCCTGGGTGACTCATTCCATTAAGTGTCTGCCTTCGGCTTGGGTCATGATCCTGGGGTCCTGGGATCAAGCCCTGCATCAGGCTCCCTGCTCAGCGGGGAATCTGCTTCTCCCTCTCCCTCTGTTGCTCCCCCTGCTTGTGCTTGAGCTCTCTCTCTCTCTCTCTCTCAAATAAATAAATAAAATCTTCAAAAAAAAAATCTAATTCATCAATGACATGAGTGACTTCGTTGCTGAATCAGATAGGAATCATGCATTTATTCAAGTCAAGATTTTTGTGACACAATTGCTGGTGAGATAATTTTAAAAAATTGGTAGTAGACTTTGTAAGAGATAGCATCTCACAGTGAAGTTACATAGGCTGAAAAATGAGGTGTTTTAATTTGAAATTTATGTTAGCCATATGTTTAATCCTTGTCAGTCCTTATTTTGATGTCTCTAGTCATTTTGATTGTGTGAAGCTCATGCTCTTGTAGATTCCTTAGGTAGGGTTCACTGGGATAATGTTCCCTGAGTTCTTGTTTTTTGACAACAATTTGTGCCCTTTATCTCTGAAATCATTCTTACTGAATATAAAATTCTTGGCTTACACTTTATTTCCTTAAATATATTCAATGTGCTTATCCATTTTCTTCTGGGATAAAGCACTCTGTTGAAAAATCCAGTGATAATTTTCTTTTCCTTATAAGTCATGTGCTCTTTTTTCCTCGATATTCCCCCAACTTATTCCTTTTCCTTTTCATTCAGTAATTTTACTAGAATATGTGTTGTCACTGGTCCTTCTAATTCAGTATTCTCAGTTATGCTTTCAGTGTGAAATTCAAATCTTTTTTACTTCAGGAAAGTTTTCTTAATTAGAGTATTTAGTAATTGTTCCATTCTTTTACTTTGGGTTTCTTCTTCAAGGACGCCATAATCCATGTAATAACCAGTCTTCTTTTTCCATCCTCAGTATTTGTTACCTCCTCTTCCCCTTGAATCCCTTTAATCTCATACTTCATTGATTTTTTGTTTTTTAATTTTCCTCTTTTCACCTTCTGTTTCTTTTAAGGCAATATGTAATGCATTTGTTCACTCTTGTGTTCCTTCTAGTTTAGTCTTCACTTTTGAAATAACTTTTTTCTTTTACTTTTTATTCTTTGCTGAGTTCTGTCACCTCATTTCTGAGTTTTTCTAATTATGATATATAGCAGATACCGCTTATCTGTGCAGAATCTGTTCCAAGATCCCCAGTGGATATCTGCAATCACAGATAGTACCAAACCCTACATATACTGTACAGTTTCCTATACAAACATACCTATGATAAAGTTTAATTTATAAATTAGGCATAATAAGAGATTAGCAGCAATAACTAATAAAGAAATAAAACAGTTATAACAATATACTGTAATGAAAGTTCTGTGAATGTGGTTTCTCTGTCTTTCAAAATATTGGACTGTACTCCCCCTTCTTATGACGATGATGTGACATGCCTACATGATGAAATGAAGTGAGGTGAATGATGTAGGTGTTGTGACGCAGTGTTAGGAGACTACTGACCTTCTGATGATCTGCCAGGAGGATCATCTGCTCCCCAATCACAGGTGACTGCAGGCAACTGAAACCACAGACAGCGAAACCGTGAATGAGGGAAGACTAATGCATTTTGTTTTTTCATGTCTTGTAACATTTTCTTAATATCTTTTAGTTATTTTGAAAACAGGAGATCACAGTTTTTTTGTTTTTTGTTTTTAAATATGGAATTCTTTGTGAATGTGCGTGTCAGCTTCGTGTGGGAGCCAGGCTAATTTTCTCTGTATATTGTTCCAATTGTAGTATATGTGATGCTTAGGCTCACTTAGGTGATCACAGTAGATCACAGTTTTGACCTGTATCGTGGGCATATCTTTCTGGCATAGGAACGAGTTATTCTACTTCTTTTTCTCTTTTTATTATAATAATTTTGCATGGGATTTGACCTTCATACTTTTTATTTTTATATAAAAAGGGTTTTCGTGGACATCTACACTAAGCAAGGTACAAAACCTTCTCTAACATCACGGAGTTCCCTCTTTAGTTCTTTTTGTATGGGGCTCAATAATAGGGTGCCTTGTTTTCTGAGCTTTTCTTGGTTCTATTGCCAAACCCCACTTCAATTTGAACCTTCCCTTTTCTTCATCTCTGCTGTCTATCTTGCTGAATTTTAATTCCATTTCTTCTTTGGAAGCATTGTGACTATTCTTGGCCTTTTGTTCTTCCACAGACATTACCAAAACAAGTTTGTCAGTTTCCTTGAAAAACCCTGTTAGAATTTATTTTCTGTATTTCATTTAAGTATTTAAAAATAATATCTCAGGGCACTTGGCTGGCTCAGTTGGTGGAGCGTGCAACTCTTGATCATAGGGTCTTGAGTTCAAGCCCCACATTGGGCATGGGCCTACTTGAAAAAGAAAAGAAAAGGCAACAAAAATTATATATATCTCTTTCATACATTGTAAGGGTAAATACTGCTTCAAGATACTTTTGTTTTAGATGCATGTGTTGTATATGTATGTATACATACACATGAATGTATTAGGATATGTGTCTCTGTCAAAAAGCATGACAACCACTGCCCAGAAGGCTACTTCAGCACTGATTCCCCCTTGGGCTTCCTCTTTTCCATTTGGTATTCATTTTCTTCTTGACTAAACTAGACTGTTTTAAAACCACATGTTTTTATTACTGGGTTCCATACAGATCTCTAGGGGAGAACTGCTGATGGTGGCAATGGAGTTTGAAAGGGGCTGAGAGAAAAAATGCAGGGAGTTTCCTGCCTCCCTTAAATCTCACCCCGCGGGACCATTTCTTACACATCTGCTCATGCAGTCAGCTGGGAACTGCTGCTGGGTTTTTTAGATAGCCTTCTCATCCCTTGCCAGATGGTCTAGGGGTTTGTAAAAGTAGACAAGAAATCAGAGAGAATAAAGAAATATTAGAAATGTCTTCACTCTTAGATCAGTTTGAAGACAGTCTATATTCCTCCGCCACCAAGGTGTTGGCATTCTAACAGATAAACCTCAAAGCGCCCTCTGCTGGCAGCCAGTATTAACCACCACTAGTCAACAGCGAAATAATGCAGATTTCATTGGTACATATTTTTAAGATGGTGATCACACATAGGGAGTTATATTTACTATTATGTCCTCCAACTAACCGAATGGAACTCAAGCACCGTAAGTTAAAATAAAATTATACAGAATCTACAGTTTTGTTCTGTTTTGTTTTTACTACAAGTTTTCAAGTATTACAAACAAATCTAAACACTGTTTGAAGATGAAATGGACTAGTCATTTATAATTGTTGAGAATAATTGTTATGTTAAAAATAATTGTTTTGGACATTTTTATTATGAACAGGTGTCAGTATTTCTGGAATAAATACATGCTGTGTGTCTGTGCTTCTAACTTTACATTTTTCCCTGGTCAAAACAAACTCATAACTAATCCTCTTTCAGTCTTTATGTAAAATTTCTAACTGCCTAAAAGAGATTATCATAAAGAAGAATAAAGATAAATTCTTGGATTTATAAAATTAAATTTACATTTACCATGGTTAATAGTTTACTACAGTACAGCCTTAAAAATGAAGTTAAATAAAATTAAATGGAGGAATGAAATAACACCTTGAAAATTCAAATCATCCATTAATTTCTAAACTGATAGTTACTCGTGTATTAGCATAGTTATAGGAAGATATTCAAAATATCAACATCACTTATCTTGCTCAACAAAATTAACTATTTTGTGTATTTACACACTAATATATACAGGACTTGCTTAACTTTTTTCTAAAAGGATTATAGAAATTTTATGGTTCCTTATTTTCAAAGCTCTAATAATTTGTGCCTATGTACTGAGGTCAGTAAAACCTCACAATAACTTTTGGTATAACTCAATGTACCAGTGATAGTGTTTACCCTCAAGGGAAGAAACTATGAAACAATCTAGTTTTAGATCTTTATGTAAAAGATCAATAAATTGGGCGCCTGGGTGGCTCAGTTGGTTAAGCGACTGCCTTCGGCTCAGGTCATGATCCTAGAGTCCCGGGATCGAGTCCCGCATAGGGCTCCCTGCTCGGCAGGGAGTCTGCTTCTCCCTCTGACCCTCCCCCTCTCATGTGCTTGCTCTCTCTCATTCTCTCTCTCTCAAATAAATAAATAAAATCTTTAAAAAAAAAATTCTACCATTTAAAAAAAAAGATCAATAAATTAATTCATTTTCCAGTATGAATTAATATTTATTAATTTGCTATTTGTAAATCTTATTATTACCAGTTAGGCCCTTCCTGATTAATAAGTCTGTGGAGTCTATTGATTATAAATAGATCCTTGGGGAAAAACACAACCATAAAAAATTCTATTTTAAGAATAGAATTTAATGCCATTCAGAGCACTTTCATCTGTATTAAAAGTTCTGTTTCCTTTTGTTTAATTATATACCTTGTTTCTATAGTAACTCTAAAGCATATAATCCGTTACAATGTTCCTAAGCCTTTTACATGGTGACTTCTTTTCAGTCCGTAAACAGTAATAACAATATAATCCTTGTTTAGAACTGCATCTTCTTCCTGAAGATCCCTTAATTAGTACGCAATAGAATTAAATGCAACTGCAGTCTCACTATACAAATTTGAATAATTAGAAGAAAAAATACAAATCCTAAACTAAGTACCTTAGTTTTCTAGGAATTTACTGCCACCTTCAGGTTTTAATCAAAATGCATTAGTACTATAGCTTTTACATTTCTAGGAAAGAGTCCCTGGTTAATGCAGTAGAAATATTAACACTATTTTCTGGTTTTGAAGGCAAAGTGCTTTCTAACTTAGATTGCAGTACAAATGTCTTTCATGAAATGTGCTTTCATTTTGTCTTGTCTTTTATGATTCTTCTATAACATGTAATTGAAAATCAAAACCTACAGTTTGTTTTATCAGTCATTATAACTATAATTATACACTGGGAGCTCCTAGAAGACTGTCCAAAATATACTTAAGGATCTTTAGGTTAAATCTAATGAAAAACCCTTCAACAACAAAACTGTTTTCAATGTTCCATGTATTGATGCCCTCCAGCCACAGACCACCCTGAACTTACCTGGAATTAAACAAGCTGGGTCTCTTGCTCATTGCAGTGAGGAAGCATATGCCATAGGGGATTGTGGGTGTCTGAGAAAGAAGGTATTTTAAAAAGGACTTACAGGATTGTACTGTATTAGGGGATTTTTGGTAGGGCTCATAGAAGTGTCAGAAAGTGGGGGCAATTCTATGATTGGGCATCTTGATTAATATTTATAAGACAGGAGGAATGAAGTGAGGCCAAAGATGCAATTGATAAAGAAGCAATAGGGGGAGGTTGCGTGTTTTCATTGTCTGCAGACTGACCTTGTTTCTATCTAGACTTAGACAAGCTTGTGAGGGGGAGAAAGTCTTGGGGTTTTTTTGTCTCGCTTCATCACAGTCAGAGTGGCCTTGTTTGATATTGGTGCTTTAAGAGGCTGTTTATGCTCAACGGGAGAACTCCAAGGCCTAGCAATGGGTGCCAGGCAGTTCCTAGTTTTCTTTCTCACATATACATTTGCAGCTCTACCAATATCCTTATTTTTTATTCCTTGAACTTGTGGTGAAATTACCAAAGTTTATTATAATTTTTAAGATGAAAATCAACAGAGTATGAAGCCATGGTGTTTGTGATAAATGTTGCAGGGGTCAGAAACCCAGCTCAAAAAAAAAAAAAATAGCAAAACGGGAATTTATTAGAAGACTCATGTGACACGAGAAAGACTGTGGTACAGAGGGAGCATGGGTCAGCTGGAAGAAGAAAGTTAAATGCCAACTACCTGTCCGTCCTCCATCTCTTCAGCTCCCTGTGTCGTCTTCCTACACAGGGCAGGAAACTTAATTGCCTGTAGTTCTTAAACTTTGTTGTCTTCCCAGTTTCAGTATGAGAGGGAGATGGATTCTGTTTCCACAGTCACAGCTTGAAAGATCTCAGCAAAGGATTCTAATCGGGGCAGCCTGGGTTACATGCCCACCTCGTCTAAACAACGGTGACCGAGACTGGCAGACCATGAGAGAAATGGGTGCTCCCACTGAAGCCACATGATTGGGGGAAAAGCCTTTCTTGGAGAAAGTGGAACTGCAGTGCCCTGCAGACAAAAGAATTGAGGTCCAGCAGGGAGCAAAAAAATGATAACAATAATCAGTTCTGGGTTAGAAATATAACATTTGCTATAAAGAAAAAGGGCAAAAAGCAAGGAGACCAGTTAGGCCATCACAATCATCCCAATAAAATACATTAAAGGCTTGAATTAGGGCAGCATCTGGGGCACAGGACTAAAGAGGGTGATTTCAGAAAATGTTTCAGAGTTAAAATCTATAGGACTTGACAATTAGATATGGGGAGTCAAAATATGTAAATAGCCCTTACATAGGATTTATCATGTAATAGCCACTGTTCTAAGCTCATAGTATATATTAATTCATTGAATCCTCCTCACAACACTATGAAACACTTAGAATTATTATTTTCATTTTCAGATGAGGACATTTGGAGGCACAGGAAGGTAAAGAAATTATCCACAGTCATACAGTTGGTAAGTGACAGAGTTCACACACACTTAGTCTTGCTCCGAAGCCCATGAGTTTAGTCAGCTGCCACAGCCTGCCCAGGGCCTGAATTTGGGTGGATGGACTCATGAATCAAGGGTGGGAACAGAGGAGGAATACAACTGGGGTTGGGGCAGGGATGTGAAGAAGAGATAATAATTTGGTTTTGTATATGTGTGAAGTTCAAAAAGTGTGACCACCAGATGGAAATGC